GGCGAGGGATCCTCAACATAATGGCTTGAACCCCTTTAATCTAATTGATGGGCGATCGCTTAATTTCGGATTAAAGTTTGGAACTTGCAAGTGGTGTGATCAATGGAGGAATACATTTCGGTCTTGGGTTAATTTTAAGATGGTAACTTACAGGTTAAGTTTTCAAAGATGGAATGTTGGAGGGTAATTAAGTGAAAAGAGCACTAAGAAGCTTCTGAATCGGTAACAAATTAAATTAAAAGTTTAAAAAATATTGAATAATTTTATCAGCAATGCTGTTATGGAATTTGAAGAATTGATCTATAATATCAGAAACACATGGTCATGTAAAGCTGGCTTGTAAAGCAACACACTCAATTCTACCAGTGAACTAAACAATAGAGTTTTAATGTTTTCACTTGACGACGCGTGATGCTGAAAGTATACATTTTGGTTCCCCTTTGACGAAGCTTGTGCTAATTAATTATGTAGGTATCTGATTAATATTTATGACTTATATACGTATCTAATCAATATTTTTATGACTTTACTTGGCATTAATAAACAACAACAATACATTTGTCAGCAGTGTGCTTTATAAATGATACTTGCTCTGAGCTCGCCAATTCGCTTGCGTTGTGAGAATGGCAATAAGCCCAGATATTGAGAAGACCATGTACTACCGCCAGCAAAAACACATACTCATTGAAGGGGTCAACTTACTAGTTTTGCTTAGTATTTGTATGAAAAACCAGTATGACTTGGTCCCTTAAATGGGTAGGTGGACTGTTCCCTAAAATGGCTATCAGCAGCACTTTGAGATAGCTAAGTAAGGTAGGTGGATATTCTGACCATAGTAAAGAATTGAAATACACTTAAAAGTAAATAAGAAAAGCTCTACAAAAGGTGGTCACGAAGGAAGTTATAAACCTCCGTGGCCACAAAAAAGTCGTTAGCTCCGGACAGTCTTCGGGACGTGAGGCGTGACGAGACTCCAATTAATACCAAAGAGAGTTTGGCGGTTACCACACAGACCGAACTATATAGTCGGTGTTTTTCGATTGTTTGGACGAATAGAGTTTACATAGGTACATAGTTTACGAAATCTAACACAAAAACCGAATATCTGGACGTCACCGCATCAAATTGCGGTTGCCATTAGTATGGACATTGTTAAGAGCATCTAATATGGTTTGATGTGTGATTAACTTACCAAATGCGATTGTTAAAATTAACCATTACCGTAACGTCACAAAAACTTTTAACCGAAACTTGAACTAAACTAAAAAAAACTCTGAAAAATTCATTTCTTCTTTATTAGATTAAACGCTATACGGGGTTTAAGGGACATCTCTACGAATACTGGCAAGTTTCATTTAGACCATTAAACTGAACAATTTTCCATAAGAACAAATGTCAGGAAACGACCTCTTTCCCATAGGAACAAATGTCAGGAAATTACAAAACAACGATCACGATCAGCGGGTTGTATCGACTATGGAAAGTAAAAATAAAAGTAGTTTCCTGAAATATTTTGTTCCTAGAGGAAAGTGGTTCAGTTACATGGTCTAAATGTACCCTATCAGTATATGGTCGTCATGGCTGAAATCGGCCGGAGAAAGAGAGATAGGTATATCAAAATTCTGAGAGCTGGGACACGTATTTCAGTCAGCAGTTTAAACAATATTTCGGAAGAGGCATAAGCACGCTGTGACGTCATACAGACGTGCTTCGCGAACCAGCCAGGGGATCAGACCGGCGCATTGTATTCGTTAGTAGAGCTTCTAAAACAGGCTGCAATGGGGAGGAAAACTCAAAGCCTATTCCAGACGGCAGCAGGCGCAAAAAAGCCTAAATGACGTAACGACAACCAAGAAGAAGTAACCAAACTTTAGACATTGATTTGATTCCAAGAAATATGACGGTCGTGGCAACAATCTTCTTAATTACATTGAGATTCCATTTAAAGTCAGTAAGCGTCAAAATTGTCTGTATAGGTAGGCGCGCGCCGTTTAATTTGTGCTAGTAGTATGTCTTTGATATCGCAGTCATTCGTCGGCTCCTCGTAGTCAGAGGGTTCATTTGGTGGTTCATCGGCTTGTCCGTCAATATATTATCCCACGCGACAGAAAAACATTCTTTTTTCTTTATATTAAGTTAGTAAAAATTGTTTTAGTAAGTATAACCGGGCAACGTGACTGGGTGGCCGACGAAAGGATCAGTCTGGCTAAGTGGCGGTTAGCTTTGTTAAGTGCTGCGGCTACAGAGTTGCCCAGCCTTTGGACATTGTTCAGGTTATGATTATACTAAAAAAGCGGCCTTGCTTATGTATAATGAAAGATCACAATCATATTTGTATAGTTCGTGTAAGAATCGTATTAAATGTGACAAACCCCGAAATACAGCTGTAGAAAGTTAATTTCACTCACTTAAAACTTAAGTAAAACTTTCATTTTCTAGAAAAAAAATTAGTTACAGAGCCGGTCGACTGAAACTTATCTCTCTAAATCAACTTCTAAAATAACTTCCTTTGAAATTAATCGTGTAACAAAATCCAGTAAGTAAACATTTTACATAGCTACATACAAATACAGAGGGCAGAACGTAAACGGCTGTAAAAACGGCTATTCACACGACGTCCGAAAAAAATAGAGTCTTTCAGAAGACCGTGTATCACCACAGTGACAGGTTGTCAGCCTGTCGCCTGAAATTGCAATACCTACACATCTACTCTCAAAATCCCTTCGTCGCTTCTTACGACACCCACAAGGAAAATGTGGAGTGCTGGCTATTCTAAGCCGGCACCGTACGGCAAATACAAATACAGTTGTTGATGTTGAAAGTTCATTTTAAAACCAGAACCTTCATTTCACTTGCCTAAGACGGCTAAGACAAACCGAGAACTTTCTAGAAAAATAATTAGTTTGAAACAAACAGAGGCTGAAACTAAAAGCGGTCTAAATCAACTTCTTTGATATTCACCGTGTAACAAAATCCACTAGGTAAACATCACAAGTTGTTTAATTAAAACTTGAATCCCACTGGACTAGAACTTCTCAAATATTGGATGAGTGATAGCCGCCGCTAGGACTTGAACTCAAATAGGTATATGAGATTCATAGCTGGCAATTCGGAATACACATTCTTTTAACTTACCTCATATTAGAGCTGTCACTTTTCGTCAAAGGGAAAGGAATAGTTAGGAGATGATAGCAACAAAAATTTCTTAAAATTTCACACAAGATGCGTTTTATCTGTCAAAAAAAGAGGACGATGAAAACAATGACGACTTAATTGACTAGAAATCGCGAAGAATCTATTGAAAAAGTACAGGACTTTGACATCTCCTATCCTTTTCTAACTCAATTTGACGTAAAGCGACAGAACTAATCAATAAATTAGGATAATGTGTACAATAGCATTCTCAAAGCGGGTTGACGTCAGGCAGGCGGTCGATCATAAAACATTGCCAAAGCCTTTTGCATCATGATTTTGTGCTCTCACAAAACATGTTGCGCCGACCCCAGCTGATTTGGAAAAAGGGTAGGTGGATGGTGGATGATGATGATGATGGGTTGCGTAAAAGAGAACTGGGATTATAAAGGACAGATATATTCAGCTGCAGTAGCTAGGTGCAAAAATAACGAAGTTATCAAAGCAAGCAGACGGAAAGAGTGGGTGAAATGATGAGGGTTAGAAGTCTCGCCATCGTTATCATCTTTAGGCGCAAGCTCTACAGAGTAGACGTGAGATGTGAGATGGCATCTGTCAAACAAGTGATCGTCGGAGACGTGACATCGCGCGCGACTCTTGAACCCGTTTCCATACGAAATATATGAAACAAAAGAAGAATGGCTAAGGTCATGTTACGCGTCGTGTCTCACGTCTACTAGGGTGCATCGGTTCATTAGAGGGTTCTTCGGGTCGTTATACTCACTCATGGTGTCGAGTGTCAATTCAAAGATGTAAGAAGGTCGGCTGGAAGAGAAAATAAGTCCGATACGGTTTGGTTAATATGTAGTTTGCAGAGCCCACGTTCCACGTTCAGTGGAACAATATTCTCGTGTATTTCCTGCTAATGTTTTGACTCATTGCTTGATACGATGCGACGTATACCTACTACGAAAGCCTAAAACTTGTCACCCAAACAAACTTCGCTCGCACGCCAATTTTTCACAATTAAAAACTCACGAGAAACACCTCTGAAAAATTGATTACATGCGGAAACGGCGGGTAATGGCGGCAAATCGTCGTCCCTCGATTCCCTGGGCACGTATTTTTATTTTCAAAAATTTCATCACAATTTACGTAGCTGAAGAGGGCGCCAACTTTGTTAATTTCGCCCGAAGTTGCGCGCTCAAGGGGGTTATTACGTACTAGGTAGTCGCTAGGAATGTGAAAGAATAATCGAATATGAACGATTACTTTATTGACATTTTATTCAAAAGAAAAGATTATTTTGTATAATTGATAATTTGATTTTAAATAATTTGTGAAATTCAAACCGAAGAAAATTTTTCTATTTCTTATTTTCACTTGCGAAGAAAAATAAATTGGAAACATAAATTCGAGATTTTTGCGCCACGTTTTTGCGTCTACGAAATACATAATTTAGGGCCTTGCGTTCAACGAAATTGAAATACACGATACACGGCACCTTATTAGGTTACTCGTAATATTTTTTTTAGGCTTTATGGCGTTCATTTAACCGCTGTCGGTAATTATATGGTAAAAAAATATTACAGCGTCATTGAGAAATATCGGTTATTTTAAACATCGATGACATTTAAAATATATTGATTGTTTCCTGACTAGAAATAATCGATTCTTAAAATCATTTTCTGTGACTAGAGTCACATCCCTACCACGTAGTTGCTAGAAAGGTCGAGGGATATTCTAAACTCGGTGTAGATCTGAGCATGGAATTAAATACCCACGTCATTGTTTGAAACAATACGTTGTAGGGATGAAGAGGTACACTTATTCCAGGAAGCAATTTTGCTGAGGGCGCAGTGACAGCCGATGTGGCGCACCTAGTAGTGCGACTGCTTGGGACGCAGATGGTTCCGGGTTCGATTCTCGGTAGCTCACTCACAAAGTTGATATGAAATGTATTTTAGGAGGAGTGATAGTTGGCCGAGTGACAAGGAGGAGGGAAAAGGGTAGGCTATCCCTGGTCGGGTGTTGTAACTGAATTGTCCAACCGGACATATTTAGAGGTTGTAATATGGCGAGACCGTGTGATGCCGGCGTAGAATGTCATCACCCTATATCTTGCCCGTTGGGTGTCGTAAGAGGGGACTAAGAGATAAATTCATCCAGGGGTTCAATCCCTGGATGAATTTCGCAATCGCATTGCAACATCTTGCATTGCGCTCATCAAGCATACCGGCACCAAGGGAACCCGCCTGCCAAGCGTGGTGAGTATTGCAAATACTCCCCTACTAGGGTAAGGCCCATGTTCAGCAGTGGACATTTTTGTGGCTGTTATAGTAGTAGTAATATAGCAATCGGCGGAAACACTTCAATACCGCGTTTCAGGACTGTATGGAAGCTGCCACAGCATTTTGTGTATTCGTTCCCAGCCGGGTTGGGACATTGCAGGCTGAACTACCTGATTGACCAAAAAGCTAAATGGTTCCGTTCTTTGGAGGGCGCGATAAAAGATCGGTCACCGTTCCTGTCTATGATTACTTTGATGGCGGTCGTTATTGGCGGCTTGCTATTTTTAGTAGGTGGTTGCAAAACTATGACACTAGGGTTCATCGAGTCATTAGACGACCTTGTGTACCACATAAAAAAATTACTTGTTTCTGGAAGCAATTTTGCTGATGATGTTTAACTCTAATAGCCTTGGCAGCAGGCTAAGTACCGCACACAATTTTATTAGGTAAACTTCGATAGCGTGTTGGTGTCATAGAAAGTGACTAACTAAGGGATAATTTCGCATATTTTACTCAGGGAATCAGCAGCAGCGTTCCCTGTGAATGTAACAACTTACAATGTGATCAATAAGTGCGCCTGCACGGCAAATACCCTAAAATTGTGGAAGACCAGTCAGTCAGTAGCTGTTGAAGTAGAAGACATTGCGTTATTTTTGGTGCTTTCGGACGGCATCGGACTTAACTAAAATTAAAATAAAAATGCTTATTATTTTTCTCTCTAGGCAAGACTGTTTGCCATACCATGAAAAACCTTTAAAAACCTAGGGCAAAATGCAAAATACACCAAATTGCCGTATCATCATTTCCTCCAATATCAGCGGGCGAATGAATTAAAATCGCCAGCAGCTCGCTTCAATTTGCGACCGGTCATCGGCTATCATCCGGGAATTTTTTATCCGGCTACCAGAGTGATTTTTACCCGACTACGGCAAAAGAGATTACGGGTTCTAGAGTTCAGGCTAAACCTTTACATGTTCATTGACCACTGCCTTCTGATGTAAGATGAAACGGCATGTTTTTGCGTCAATTTGTTGACAACCGACCGATACATGACATTTTTTCTTATTTTTTTGGTCCAACCACAGCGTCCACGGCCTTACAAGTATTAAATTTATATAACTTTTACAAATGCCAAACTAATACAAGAAGTGAATAGGTATTACTAATGGCTGTTACTCTATCGACAAGAGCAAAAGAACCAAGATAGGTTAGGTTAGGTGTGGAAAAGTAATATAAATCGAACTTAACAAATGTTGCTGTAAATTCTGCTGATCTTGTATTTTAACATCAGCAATAACGCTTCACCAACACAAATAAGATCAGCCATGATCAGGTGTAAGAATACATTTGATAACTTATATTCAATAAAACATTTTTGTTGTGATTAAAATGTTTGCCAAGATTTCATAGGAAAAAACTTAAAATAAGCAGTCGGGTTATAGTTGTTTTTTTCTACCTTTTTTCCGATGCATATGGCAGCTACCAAATTAATTTCCATTAAATTAATTTTCGCCGCATCATACCTGTCAAAATGGCGACAACGCAGTAATCGCGTATTCATTGTTTTTGATAATGTTTTATTAACCCGTTGAGTGTTTCTTGTGCACACGGGTGCTCAAGAAATTTGAGAGCCCTGCGTGCACCCGTGTGATGTGCGTGACACGCGGGGCTCTCAAATTTCTTGAGCACCAGTGTGTACAAGAAACACTCAAGGGGTTAATAATAAGTAGTGTAATAAAATAAGTTGTTAACAGTTCAACAGGTTTTAAACCGGACGTAACAGAAAGGGTATAACAAGCCGAAAGGAGGTCAAGGTACCTACTAATAAAACTGAACAACTTTTCCCACGGAACATGGGTCATAATATGAAAAAAAAATTTGGACCTCCCATACAAAATCGCTGATGGATTTACTATGAGAGATCCAAATTTTTCTTTAGTATTTCGACCCTTGTTCCATGGGGAAAGTTGTTCAGTTTCATGAGTACCTTGACCCTCTTTCGGCTTGTTATTATATACCTTTTGTGTTACTCTCTGTATAAAGTTATTTTTTTTCTTTCGGATACATGATTCAAATTAAGTGTTAAAGTTTTATACAGAATATTGAAGAAAATACTGCAATTATTTTAAGAGGTGAATCAGTCTACAAAACTAAACAGCTTTCTCTAAAGAACATAGGTAATCGAACTAAGTAATAATTATGGATCTCTCATACAAACGGACGGCCGGCCAAAACATTTTGTATGCTTAATTTTCTTTTCATATTTCGACCTTTGTTCCGTATGGAAATTTGTTTAGTTTCGTAGACTACTTCATGCCTTCAAATATTGCAGTTTTTTTTTTACACATTTGTTACTAGCAGGTAAAAAGTACAAAATAATGGGGTAAACAGAGATAATAGCTTATAATATACTAGCTTTCCGCTCGCGGTTTCACTAGCGGTATTTAGGTGTTTGGTCTAATAAAAAAGTTTGAAATACAATGCATTTCAAATCCACGATGTTCATAAAAGCTTTGCATCCCTTTAGTGGCTTAAAATAAGAAAATGATCACAAAGTTTGAAAAAAATTGTATTTAAAAATCATATGGGTAATTCCATGGAAAACAGTATTTTAGCAATGAAAGTTAAAGTTTCTTATTTATCATCAAATTATAGTTTAATTCCTTCGAAACACATCAAATAATTTGGATCTTAAAAGATAAATGCTTATTTTGTACAGCTATAATATCCGGCTTCGCCCTAGTCGGCTAGGGAATTCGTCAAAATGCGGCTGTGCGGTGCGGCTGTGCTGACAGATGTGCGAGGTTCATAGAACTTCATACAAAGAATTCAAAATGCGGCGCGTGCGGTGCGGCTGTACTGACAAATGTGCGTTCACCTTAAGGCATCGTTGTTCTAAATGGAGTTCAACCACTCGACAATAGATGGCGCTACTCTGAATGAATTTCAACTACTCGACAACAGATGGCGCCACTGTTGAGGGATTGGAAAAGCCCTTATATCTTCTAAAATACGCCCTTTAAGTTAAAACGGGAACTCCCTTGTTCGATGGGAGATAAAGGACTATTGCACAATATAAGTCCCTTTATTGTACCGGAAATCCTTTTTGAGTTTTATCGGCACGTACCTACATTTTATCAACTTAGTTTTATTAATATATAATGATTATGTGCCGTCTTCTTATTAACTGCGCTAGCATAAACTTACATAATACTTTTATGACAAACTAATTTTATTATTATCATAACAAATACGTGTCGAACTACCACAACTACAAAACATTACTAGAAAAATACCATTCCAGTATGTTTAGAGTAGCAGAATGGCTGCAAATAGCGGCAGACAATTTCGTTCAATATGATTCCAGCGCCGTTCAATCTTCAGTCCATTCATTCACTCATTCAGTTGAAATAGAACGATAGATCATGATGGCTATCTACTGCCGTTGATAGCCGGGGAGTGAACCGAATACCGAATCGGTAAATAGGAATATTGCAATCAAACTAGGTGATTTAGGCGATTATCAAATGCAGCGCATGATTTTCTATTGTGCTTCGTGGATGAGATAGACTTATTATGAAAGTAATTTTGTTTTTTTTTTTATATAGATTGAAATTTTACGTGAATTTTGTATGGCAGGTCGAATTTTTTTTTTTATTTCCCACCATTGGCCCCATAGTAAAAGTTGTTCAGTTTGATGGTCTGATCATGCCTGCAAAGTTTTCGATACACCGTCCCTAACACGTATAAAACGAAAATCGCAACCAGATATATTCATGGCACGTTGTCAAATCAAATTGCAGCTCTCACAGGTTGTCATTTTGTATGTATAGTCCTAGGTACAATATCTGTCGATCATGGTCAACCTTATGGTGGCAATAATACCACCTACGATAGCATTTCCAAAGAGGGGTGACGTCAGGCAGGCGGCTGGCCGTAAAATTAAGCCAAATCCTTTTGCAACATGATTTTGTGTTCAAACAAATCATGTTGCGCTGACCCCAAGTAATCGGAATAAGGGCAGGAAGATGATGATGGTGCCGGTCACGAACTCCAATATCCATCATTGCGTGTGAAATTCGCTGTAATTGCCAGCATTTCAACCTTATTTAAGAGATCAACACTGGTTTATCCTCAAACTAGGGGCCCTTTAGCGGTTGCACCAGATGCAACTCATTTTCCTTGGAGAAAATGGCATTTTCCCGGTACGTGTTATACATATAAACCCTCTCTCTTGAATTACCCTATGATCTATTACAAGAAAGCATTTCAAACTGTGTTTTGATTTGCACGAAAAACCAGTTTGTTGGTCCGAAAAACAGGCTTGTTGATGTGCTGGATATACTCGTAATACCATTCAACTAAGCCTTAATGGTCAGCGAACCATCCAGCGCTATTTGGTTTAGTGCATCACCCCTAAACCGTCCATTGCTGGACGCAAACCGCCTTCAGTTTGTCATAAAGCCCGTTTTCTGTTCTCACCATCCATGTAAGCAAAGTAAAAAATAATAGGTTCTTTGAAATAAAGTCTGCATTTATGAAAGTTGGGTGTGAGTGTTCATGTCATGATCAGGGAGTCTAAAACGCATAAGTACGACCGTTCTCCGCCGGCTTGTTTTGTATGGAAATCCATTCCGCAGGCCTTT